TTTCTTTTATTTTTTTTTGGCAAAAAAAAAAAAATTAAAATGAATAATCATTCTCGGAAATTTATCTATTTTTTTGTTGTGGTTGTTGTTGTTGTTGTTCTTCCACGTTTTAATTATCGATTTGAATTTTTTTTTTCGTGATAAGATTTAACGCGATTTAATTATACATTCTTAATTAAACGTTAAAAAAAAAAAAGAAAGAAGGTTCAGGATATGTATCCTGAAGGTAAAACATTCCGTTTTTTTAGTTTTCATAAAAAATAAAAAATAGTAATAAAAAAATAAAGAGTAAACAACCGAACGCCCTTCAAAACAAGACAATTATATTCTAAGGGTAATGTGACTTTGTTTGTTTGTTTGTTTGTTTGTCGTGCTTTATGAGTTTTTTCTCCAAAAAAAAAAAAATTTAATTTAATTTAATTTTTTAAAATAATTTTATCACAATGTTTTAATTATAATTGTTATCGTCGTCATCGTTTCACATGTCGTGGTTGTTGTTGGTGTTGTTGTTGGTATTTCGCTTCCTTATATTAACCTGCGTATATAAATAATTTAATTTACAACCAAAAGTAATTATCATAAAAATTATAAATAATAATTTATTCTGCGGAGAGAAAAACGTACATTAAAATAAAATATATACTTTTTTACGTAAATTTTCTGATTGATACGCACTCATGCACGCACTCACGCACGCATCCACGCAAATGAAAAAAAAAGAAAAGAAAAATTTTTATTTGTATTCAAACATGTGTTTAGCAAAACGTGATGATTTATTAAAATGTCTAAACGTTTTCATGTGAGTTGATGACTTTTATTCATGTTCACGTTATTTAAACGGTTGCTCTCGGTTTCTTTTCTTTAACTTTTTCTATTTGTAAAGGAAAAATTTGGCTGCTTCTGTTTCCTGTTTTACAAAAAAAAAGAGGAAAAATGTTGCGTGATGTCGTTTACCCCCCCCCCCCCCGGGATAAAAAAAAGAAGCCATTTAAAGAGTTTTTAACGAGAGAAAGGGCAATTTAATACGTCATCTTATTTCATTCTTCTTCTACGTCTTCTGCTGCTCCTTTTTCTAATTATTTATGGTAATAAAATAAAAATATTAAAAGTTATTATTATTATTATTACAAAAAAAGGCGTTTCTTTTTTTTTTTATGAAACAATCGAATGATATTATCGCGTTATCATCATCAATTTGGAAAATGTTAAAATAAAAAAAATTTGTTTACTAATTTTTTTTTTTACAATTTGAGAATTTCAATCATAAATAAAATAATAATAATAATAATAATTTTTTAAGTAAAATAAAAAAAAAAAGAAAAAGTGGTTGTTGTTGTTGTCGGAGACCGTGACTGACGATACGAGAACGTGAATTTAAAAATTTCTCCAGTTTTCCTCCCATTACACGATTCTCCGATTCTCCAGTTTTCCATCTGATTCACGGAGTTTCCATGTGCTTTGAAAACTTGTTGCTTTTACCTTTAAAAGCAAAACCGTTCTATCTGTATATTATTATTATTATTATTTGTTTCCAAAAAATTAAAGGAAAAAAAAAATTATTAAATTCGTGAAACATATGTTTTATTGTTTAAATAATTTTTTTTTGTTTATTATTTCCGAAAAAAAATGAGGGGGGCGGGGAGGGAGGAAGGGATCGATGAAAAGAAAAACAAACGGACAAACAATAATTAAAAATATTAAAATTCACACGAAAAATTTATTATAAATAATAATATTATTTTTATTGTTAATGTAAAAATGCCCTTGATTGTTATTTAAAAAATTTGGTAATAAATTACAATCGTTTGTTTGTTTGTTTGTTAAAAGCTTGACGTACGTAAAACTAACGGAAAAAATTTTTTTTTTTTATAAAAAAAAAAATAATTTATTCATCTCAAAAAATCATTATTTTTTCGTTTGTTTGTTGTTTTTTTCGTACAATTTATAAATAATCACGTGATTGTATTTTTTTTTTTTATAAAAATTATTCTTGCACTACAATTAACACAATCGCAATTTTTCTTTTTTTGGAATTAATGCAAAGGTGGTAACAAACGATGCAACGACAAACTTTCTTAATGTTACTGAAACAAACACGTTTACGCGTTTGTCGTCGTTTTGTTTTGTTTTTTAAAAATAATTTAATCAAATTATCCTTCTTACAATTAATTATTGTCACGCAAAGTATACCGTCCATTACTGTTTTTCTTTTAAACCGACAGACGTATTATTATTATAATTATAATTATTATTATTATTAATTATTATTATTATTATTAATTATTATTATTATTAATTTTTATTTTTCCTTTCGGTCATCTACAATAAATAGAAATTTATAATTATTTGAAAATTTAACTCAAATTTCATGAAAATGATGAAAATTGTTGCATGAAACCTTTTTAACCGAAAAGGTTTAAAAATTTTTTTGCTTCGGCGCTGAAACTTCGTAAATGACACGCACGAGAAGAAAGCTAAATACTGAGGGTAGACGATAACCTTTTCGTGACCGCCAAAAACGTTTTCGTATCAAATATTAACGGAAAACGTAGGAAAATATTTTCCAGTAGGTTTCAAATCTTCGTAACGTTTACATTAATTCGTTATTGTGACTTTATTGTTAAATAAAATATATTTACGATATTGTTAAAAAAAATTTTATTATTAAATAAATAATAATAATAATATTAATAATGGAAAAAAATTCGGTTGTTGTGGTTTGTGATTCGTATTATTTAAGTGCTAAAAGTGGAGAATTATCATCGAGATCTCCATCACCGAATCGTTCACTCAAAGGATTTAATTTATTTCGTGTCATAAGTCAAAAAATTGGGAGAGGAATCCGTCAATCGAAAGAATATAAATCCACGAGTTCAGACGACGGCGACGAAGAAGAAGAAGAAGAAGAATATTCTAGCATATCGAAAAACAATATGGGAAACGGTAAAATAAATTCGGAATGTGATTGTGATTATTATTATAAAAATCAAAGACGAGTCGTTATAATAGATAATAATAATTACGGAAGAGACGTTGTCGTTAAAAATAAGAAAATGGCGGAAAAAGAATTACAAGATTACAAGATTAGTAATAAAAAGTGCCTAAAATTTACAACGTCGAACAGGCATCATCATTCATCCGGAAGCGATACCTACAGCAGCAACGATGATTCATCAGAATCAAACGAAACGGACCAACAGAAAACGAGAAGAAGTCATTCGTCGTCAAACGAATCTTACGCTTCGTCATCTTCGTCGTCTGCCGAATCTTATAAACCCTCGGATTCGAACGTGAGAAAAGGACTTAAAAATTTAAATATAAATTCTAAAAGTTTAAGTTGTTTTAATATTTCTCAAGCGAAAGATTCGAGCGAGAGGAGAGAAAGCATCGCGAAAGACAAAAGATGTAAAAAAAGTCCGCAAAAAATTCTTAGGCAACCGGCAACGCATACATACGTAAGAGGTATTTCCGGTTTGCCGACTTTAAAAGTTATAAACACGAGAGGATGTTATAACAATCAATATTCAAGAGGTTAAACGTGTTAAGTTTTTAACAGAGATTTTCCTGTTCGGGAAATGTTGTATAGACAATAATAATCATCGCTCATAACTATTATAATTATCATTATTATTTCATTTAAATTGTTGTAAACGAAACGAGAGACGTTTTCTCGGTTGAATAAAAATCTATCAAGCGCCTTACAACTAAGAAAAATCATTATTGTTTACTACGATTTCCGTCGTGGTTTGTGACACTTCCGTTTTTTCAAAAAAAAAAAATTTTTTCGGTGATTTTGCGTGCCTACGCCACTGATTAATTAAATCCTGGATTTATTTATCAAAAGGAAAATATATTCAATGCCTTTTTAATTACAAGTGTGGAAAACGGAAACGAATCGGAAGAGTCGGAAATACAAAAGGAAAATTTTTTTTTCGTTATGATTTTTCCGTCGCCGCTGCAGTCGGCACCACAACCGCCGCCGACAGCAACAACACCACTAATAAAAACAATAATAATAATAATAATAATAACACTATAATTATTTTTTAATTATGAAAAAATTTAATAAAATTCCGGTGGGGAAAAAAAAATTATCATCGAACGAACTTCCGTCATAATAAATTTTTTTTTTACAATAAAAAGGAAGAAAGGAAACTAAAAAAAGGTTCATCAAACTTTTTAAACATCAATAATAATAATAATAATAATAATAATAATAATAATAATAATAATAATAATAATAATAATAAATTTTTTTGTTTTTAAAGGAAGTTCGACGATGAAAAAACTTTTTTTTCTTTTCCTCTTTTTTTTTTCCTTAATTGAAAAAACAAACAAAATTGTTACTAACAAACAACCATTTTAAAAAAAATTACCTTTTTTAATACTTATTACCAATTAATAATAATAATAATAATAATAATAAAACTGTAATTTTAACTTTTGTAATCGACAAGAAAAAAAAAAAAAAAACTACTTTTTATTTACTACTTGTTAATTAATAATGGAATGAATCGATACGCTGCGTATTTGTACGCGGCGTAATAACGAGTATTTACCTTACGCGCGTTATTTATATAAACACGTTTGCATGTTTTTAAAAAAAATTTTTTTGGGCGTAATTAAATAAATAAATATATAAATATTACATATTGTTATGATTATATTGTATAAAGTTTTAATCATTTTTATATATACATATATTTATATTATTATTATGAGTTGGGGTTCGATGGATCGATATATCGATAGATCTATCGATTTATTCGTAGTGACTTTACATTGCCGGCAAAACATTCAAATAAATATTCGCGATTCAATTATTGTTTTATAAAATTAATTACTTATAAAAAAAGATTTTCTCCAGTTTTTGGAGAAAAGAAATTAAAGTCAATTATCTAATAATAATGATGATAATAATAATAATAATGATGATAATAATAATAATAATGATGATAATAATAATAATAATGATGATAATAATAATAATAATAATTTGTTGTTGTTTTCGATTGTTATTCCAGTCGGAATTGTCGTTAAATAATTTTTTTTTTTGTAATACTGAAGGTATTTCATTGGGTTCGTGTATCGAGTTATCGTGTACAATTATTATTATTATTATTATTTATATTATTATTATTATTTATATTAATTATTATTCTCATCACGGTGAAATAATTTTTTTTTTTGATACGTGGATTTAAAAATAATTTTGATTATAAAGAATGTCGTAAAAAAAGGAGGAGGAGGAGGAGGAGGAGAGTTTTTCTTGTGACACTTAATTAATAAACCGGAGCGTGTTAAAAAGAAAAAAATGTTACCACACCCTCGGTACGGTAATTTTAACTATTATTATTATTATTATTATTATTATTATTATTATTATTATTATTATTATTTAAAGAATTTGAATTAAATTTTTTTTTTTACTTAAAACACAGAAAAATTGTGTCGGATTACGACGAGTACTTAATTATAGTTTAACGGTTCTGTCGTAATTTTATTTTTAAAAAAAAAATTTCCGAACGGTTTCGTTGGGATTACATTGAAACTAATGCCACGTTCGAAAATTTGAAACGAATATTACAAAAAGTGGAATTAGAATTTTACTTTTATTTTCTAAACCGTTCTTTTTTACTAAATATATACTAAACACGTGATTTAAAGGGTCTCGGTAGGAAAAGAGAGAGAGAGAGAGGAAAAAAAGTTTCAGACGTGATTAATTCATAAATATTATTATTATTTCGTAGCAAAAAAATAAATTAAAAGTAACAAACAAAACGCCCACACACCCCCTCCCTCCCGTTTGTAGACACGACGATAACCACTTATTTATTTTTCACGTTAATAAATTGTCAGACTAATTAATAATGATAATGATAATGATATAAGTGTAAATTCGCCACTCGGTGAGATCGAGAGAGGGAAAAATGTCGCCAACCGGAAATAAATAAATTAAAAAATTTATTTATTAATTTTTTCTGTTTCCGTTTCCGACTGACTACACATATCGAAACATTAAAATTAAAAATTGTTTTAGTGATAAAAAGAAAAAAGAAAATGCCGGCAAAATATAAAATTTACAAATGTATAAAATTTATCGGTCAATTTTAAAATTTTATTATTACTATTATTATTATTATTATTATTACAACATTTTTTTTGTAGTGAAATGTTTTTTGTAGTTAATAAATAAAAGAATTTAAATTAAAAAAATTAATAATTTCTACGGTTTTTTTTGTCCAGCATTTTTTAAATTAAAAAAAAAAAAAATTTGTCGATTTTTTTTTTCCAGTAACCGATGAATATCAACAATATGGCGGAAACTTTTGTTTCCGAAATTTTCAAATGTGAAATATTAATAATCATAAGGTTCAAACAAAAAAATAATGGAAAGAACGAAAGGAAAAAAAAACCTTTTGACTTTTTTTTTTTTAAATAAAACAAAGGTGTGAGGTCATTCACACCGAAAAACGATTGAAAATTCTAGAAAAAAAAAAGGAAAAGGAAGAAGAAAAAAAAGGTTTTCTTTGTTTTTTTTTTTATTTTATTTTATTCAGGAAGTGTATTATCCTGGAATCTTATTATGATATTTATCCAGATGATAAATAATAATAATGATAATCTTACGGTAAACATTTATTGTGAAAGATAAGTAAATTTAAAATAATGGAAAATGGAGAGGTTTTACTTTTTTCTGCTTTTTTTTTTGTAAAAAAGAAAATTGGAAACGCGGGAGGAAAAAAACAAAATGGCGGCCGATATGATATTTTAATTTATTTTCTCCAAAAAAAAAAAAAAAATTTTACAAGTTCGATTAAAGTACGTATAGTTTACGTAAATATACGTATCTTTTTTTTGTTCTGGAGAAAAAAATTGTTTTTCCAGTAATTTTTACCTTTTTCACTTGTTAAAAATTTCTTGGAAATCTTTGAATTACAACATCTGAAGTTTTCCCTCCTCCCCCCTCGCAATTTCCCGAAGTTTGTACTCCCACTCCAGGATTTTTTGTTAAAAGTTAATAATTTTCTAAGAATTTTTTTTTTTGTTGAAAGTGACCGACGTGTTTATTTTTTTCGTATTTGTTTATTTCCTGTTTTTTAAATATCGTCTGCTTTAAAATTTTTTTTTTTTTTAAACCATATCCGGTTTTGATTTTATCAAAATTCATTCATTTTTACGACGACGACGACAAAACGGAATTTTCGTATTTCATTGCCATTTTTTTTTTTTTTTGGGTTAAATTCGTTAAACTAAATGGAAAATTTATGGAAAATTTTATTATTATTATTATATTAATTTAATATAATTAGAATTTAATATAATTAGAATTAAATAATTAATATTTAATCGTAATAATAAATAATTTTTATTTTACGTGGAACAAGGACTTTTCCTAACGGTCAATCATTTTAAAAAAAACAAATTTTCCTCGTGATAACCTACGAATTCGTTATGAGGATAATAAATAAATGTCGGTGAAAAATGGCGGGAAAATTTAAATTTCTATCGTGTAATTTGCCAGAAGAGGAAAAACGAAAGGTTTTTTTAATGTAGAGTAATTCCAGGAGAGAAACTGGAGAAAATTTCTTTTTTTTTGGAGCGATAAAGAAAAAAAAAGAAAAGAAAAAGAAAAGTTGTCGTTTGAAAAAAAAAACTTTTTTGTTTCCCGTTTTTCCATTTATTTCATCATCAATTGATAAATAATAATAATAATAATAATAATAATAATAATAATAATAATAACCCCGACAAATAAGAGCCTTGTCGTGTTTAATAGTGGACATAATAATAATAATAATAATAATAATAATAATAATAATTACGGTAATGGTAAAAAGTAATAAATAAAACTTTGATCGGAAGGATTAAATATTATTAGGTGTCTGTTTAACTTACGGTAAAGGTAAACAACTTTTTTTCTTTTTTTTTGTAAATATTTTTTCACTACTTTACAAACGTTATGTTTTCATTTAAAAAAAAGAAAAACGCGCGTAAAATTTATTTATTTATTAAAGGTGTTAAAGGTTAACGCAAGATTAAATAACACGTGAATTCCACTTTTTTTTGGGGGGAGGGGGGGTTCGCGTATAAAAAAAGATGCAAATAGAAATAAAAAAGGAAATAAAAAAAAATTTTTTTTACGCGCGCGTTTTTTTTTTTTTTATTTATGATTTTTTTTTATTGTCGTGGTGTTGTGCGTTTGTTCGTTTGTTTGTTTGTTTTGTCGAGCGTTTGATTTTATTTCCCTTTAAAAAAAAAGAAAATTTATTTTTATGATTCTAAACAACCGGGGGAGCAACGTACGAAAAATGTTTTCTGTTTTCTGTTTTGTTATTATTTTTTTTTCTCACTTCCTCTTTTTATCTCTTTCTCGCATCCGTATTCGTAAGGTGGCATATGCAGGCGCACTCACCCCCCCACGCACAAACACTCCATTTTCACGTCTGATAAAAGAAAATTTTTCGTGGGGAAAAAACGATAACAACAATATATGGAAACTATGATGATGATGATGATAACGATTGTGACGACG